TCGCGCACATCCCGCATTGTGTACATATTCTACGTATTCGCGAGAGAATGTTTTTTTAAAAGTAATACTGTCGTACTTGCGAAAAGCGCGGGGGCAACTGCTTTCGCGATATAGACAAGCATACAAAAGACTGCCACTTACAGACATCCTGCCGTTGGAGGGTTGGGTAAAGAATCCTAAGTGACCGGCGACGATCGAGAAAACCGTCCCGGGACTCGACTCGTCCTCGATTGATACGGTATCCCCAACCGGATGGGAACAGTCGTTCCGCGGAGATTTGCTGAAGAGAAGGACAAATCTGAAGGCGAATCCGGAGCGATTGATATCGAGAGGAAAGCCCCGAAGGCAAGGTAGGTGGAAATATGACGGTGGAGGCTGCGGAAAAGCTGTATGCTTCCCCCCCCCCTCTCTCTCTCTCCCCTGCTTTCCTCCCCTTTCGGAGCTTTATTCAGCCTGCAAGACGCAATGAATGGGAGCTTCTACGAGCTTCGAGCGTACCTCTTCAGACCGTCTACGCGAACATCGGCAGAACTCTTTTCCTTTTTCCACCGTCCCCATTCCACCCTCTCTCACCATCCGCCCGCAACGCCGTGCCTTCAAGAGAAAGAGAATTTCCCGCCTTTTCTCGTGCCCTTCCTTTTTCCTCGCTTCAGGAAGGTCGACTCTTCGCACCCGCGGATTTTCACTCCACAAGCATTGCGGAAATGGCATTCTTCGACGCATCGTCTTTCTTACTGCGAGATTAATTTGTGTGATTTCTTTTTTTATCGCAAACGCGTATTACAAATAAATTAAACAAGTCAGTTAATTGATTTAAAAAGAAGTATAATTTCTGTCTCAATTTTTAATGTACGACAAAAAGCCGTGTGACTTAATAAAGAAATAATACAAAAACCTCGAAAATCTTCCTAGGTCAGTAAGACGTCGAAGACGTTCGGTGAAGGAAAAACAAATGTTGAAAATACGTGAAGAATTTTGGCGCGGAAAAGTAGAACACCCATAAAAAAAGAGTAAGAGAAAGGAAGGAAAAAAAAACAGCCGACATATCGCGCGCAATAATACATAGCAAGCGGTTGATGTACGTCGATCGGTGTCCAAATTTCGGAGGGAGAGGGGATAATGACAGCGCACCTTCCTTATGATGAAAAAAATGCCGTTTCTCTTGGAACGAAATCGCAATCTTCTTGTCCCCCTTCGAGAAATCAACTTTTCTTACCCTTAATGGATTACACGGTGATGGCGAGCAGTGAGTTCGATTTCCTCACTGATAAATCGCACCCTCTAGACCTTTTTCCCGAACACCAATTTATATTAAGTGAGAGAGGCATACGTGTTATGGCAGCGCCGTCCAGAAATATATACCGCGTAGGTCGGGGGGCGAAATTGCTCCGGCCAGGGTCAATTTCGAGAAAAGGTTTCGCCGCTATTCCGGCTATGTTTAAGAAAGAAGCCGACAAATCGCCACACGAATTGCTTTGTAGGCTCCAAAATAAGAATTTTTTAAGTTTTTTCCGGGAGCAGCTCTAAGGCTGCATCCCCATGGAGAGAGAAATAGCGGAACGGAGCTAAAACGGAATTGCTCTGATTGGCTAATCTCCAGGTGGGGGATCTCAAGATGGGATTATTAGCCAATCAAAGGAATTCCGTTTTAATTCCGTTCCGCTATTTCTTCCTTTATGGGGATGCATGCCCTAAGACCTGTCTCGGAGATAAAATCGAAACGTATCCGCAATAATTTTAGGCAGTCACTCGTCATAAGTCGCTTACAACCACGTGCGCGTTTCGTTAAGTGCGTTTCGCTTTCAAAATCTTCCTCGTAACGTTATTCTCGTCGCTTTTCTTACACTAGCGCTAATCCGGCGAGCCACCTTACCTTTGATGTAGGTAACTGCTCACGGCATTTCTCGGCGCGGTATTTTCTCGCGCGCCCCGTAAATGTTGCGATTTCAAATAACGCGAAGTACGCACACATGTACTCGACGACGGCTAATAATTTCCTCGGATTTTTCTCGTCGTCGAGACCGTCGAAAAGTAGAGAGCGTGTACGTTTTCAAAGTAAAAGGCGCGGGCAACGAAAGGCTCGGGCCCTTTGTCACCGAATCTCCACGCCGCTCTAACCGTCCTCGCGCGCGTCGCGACGCCGCGCGTGTAAAAAGCATGTGTCCGCGTGCGCAAACAAAAAGAAGAAAGAAACACCTACGCGAACATTAACGATCGCCGATAGACACAACGGTTTTGCGTTACATGTTGCGCTATTGTAATGCGCTCGCATTCTCGCCGAGATATTTGTGCAACGGGCGCGCGCTGTGAAAAACATCAGCCGCGCGCCACAGCATGATTATTTTCATTTCCGCAAATGCTCTGTAAAACAGTAACATTGTTGTTTGTGACAAGAAAGAAGATGCGCGCGCGTTTCCCAACAAATATAATTACGGCAAAATTAATTAGTATTTAATTTCTGCGAAAGAAGTAATATCAATGTATCAAAGAACGCTTTGAACATAATTATTCGCGACGGACATTTCGTGATAATTAAAATGCACTTAGTGTGATTAATATGTATATTTCAAATGCGGAAGGAGGGGGGGATAAAACATTATTTTATACTCCGTCCAACGAGAGATCATGGTTGATATCAAACGTAAATAACGATAGAGCACAGAGCCGCAACAAGGTGTTCGCGTTAAATTATTTTTATTTTTAATAGTGTTGGAAAATATCTATTAAAAATAAAAATAATTTAACACGACCACCTTTTGTTGCGGCTCTGTGCCCTATCGTTATTTACGTTTGATCAACCGCATGATCTCTCGTTGGACGGAGTACTTATAGACGCGTCTATTCAGCCGCTAAAAAGTCAGACCGCGGTGTTGGGGGAAACGGCTTGCGCCCCGGCAGTTATTTTAACGAGGCTATTAAGATCGCTCTGACATTTTCAAATGGCATTGTTTGTCATGATCAAAATGACGGTAACGTCGAGAGAAATAACGCGCGGCGTATATAGCGTTACTGCCCCGATACGTCGATTTATGCCGCGCGCTAAATGGCCATCACGTCTCTCTCTTCGTAATTTATAAAAACATGTGCCAAAAGATAACTCGGGGCTTTAAAGAGCGCATCGGTCATTACGTTTTCCCCGATTAAAATACGAACGGTCGAACTACGCGCACGGGCGATCGGCTACGCGTTCCGACCGAGGCTATTAATCAAACCGTATCGGCATTTTTCGGTGACGCCAAACTCGTGGATTCAGTTAAACAGGAATTTCGGTAAATTCCGCGGAAAATGAAAGCCCGGGCGCGTAGCGCTTTACAGGTATATATCGCGCCCACGGGTTGCTTCTGTTTGCCAGCTATACGGAAAATGATTAACGACGCGAGGAACGAGGTCGAACTTTCGGCACATCCGGCGGTTGCACGTGCAACCGAGTGATCCGAGACACGGCGCTTTTCCCGTGCGGTTTTCAGACACGCCGTCGTCGTCCGCGTCCCCCGGAAATTTCACCATTCTTTTTTTCCACCGTCCTCGCGTCGAAACGACATGTGACGACGTTGAGCATACGTGACGAGAGCAGGTGCGCGAGAAAAGTGCTGTCCGTCCTCCTCACCGTGGAGGCGAAGCTTACCGCCGTAAACGGCTGTCGCCACACGGCAGCGCGCGCAAAATATTAATTAAGATACGTTACCTCGCTAAAAGGTTGTATCTTACGGCCCGCATTTTTCCCCTCTCTCGCGGAAACGAATGTCGGCCTCTTATTCTTCCAGTTCTCTCAAGGCGTGAATTTTTTAATCTCTCAAAATTCTAAACGTCTGCACAAAAATTCTTTATCTCCCTTTCCCCCCCCCCCCCCTCACCGCCGTTTCTTTACACATCTCTTGTCTAAATATTCCGATAAAATATTTACAGCTGAGTCGACTATCAATTTCAGCGAAACATAAATAGACTGCTTAATGCATGGTATTCGCAAAATCATCCATTCTTTTATTTTGATCCCGTATAAGTAGATCGATTAATAATCGTCAGACTCTATCGGATGGCCACTTTCTCTCTGCTGCGCTGCAGTTTTCATCGGCTCGAGGCGACGTGCGAGGGCTGTGCGCCGGGAATTAATTTTTCCTGCGGAACTATATACACGCCGAGATAATTTCTCTTCGTCCATCGGTCGTCGATTATCTCACGACACGCACACACGAGGCTAATTAATATTTGTCATATCTCTCGTTAACGCGCGCCGATAATAACAGATTATGTTAAAAAATTTAAGTTTTTCCTTCGCGAGTCTTCCCCGCCTTTGCATTTTGTTCCTCTCGTCTGGTCGAAAAATTTCTGCGAGCGGCGGCGATTCAGCGTTAGAGAGTCGACTTGTCCGAAAAAACGATTCCCGGTCCCTTTGATGGACAGCCATACGTTCGTCGCAACTGGGAAGGCCGGAAGGAACGCGAGAACTCTTCGGGGAACGCGAAAGCGCGACCGATCAGATTTCAATGGATGCATTTCAATCGGGGTCACTGCATACGAATTTCTCTTTGGTATGCAATGATTTATGGTTCGTTGCGCGTTCTGGTTGCGGTCGGTTCGCCGCCGAGGTAGCTTCGAGAGAGAGAAAAAAAGCTCTTCTAAAAAGCTCCGCACGACCGCTCTGCCATCGGCGAAATGTGGACGGACCCAAAAGGAAGTTATCGGCGTTCCTTGTATTTTATTCCGTCATGTTGCGCGTATTACTATACAGTCGCCGAAAATCGAAAAGAGGGATTTTCGGAGAGAAACGAAATATAAAATGCGATTCGACGAATTTACGCGATCATCCGTTTCTCAAAGTTCCTTGAAATTTTTATCGAATCACCATAAATGATAAACGATAATTATTAATAATCACTAATACGATTGTTTTCGCTCCTGTCCTGAGTTAAAAAGCCTCAAAATATTATTGGGCCCCGTAAAATCTGACACTCTGACACACAATATTCGACTTGGCTTTTATTTCAATTAAAACCACTCACCTTCTTGGCGTCATTGTTGTTGTCGGCCGCGTGATGAGGTTGCGGACTCATTGAAGCACCATTGCTGACTGCCCCGCTTTGCGATAGAAGCTCGTCACTACCCCTCTGCAACAATAGAAAACACCCGTGTAAAAAAAAATTACTCTTTTTACACGACGATTCCTCAATAAATTCTACTTTCCGCCAAGCATATTTTACGTTCAGCGAGCAATAACGTAATTCAGAAATATTGCATCGCAGGTTTTTGTATGAATTCTACGTTACGACGATCTCCGAATATTATTATAATTGTATATTTTCGAAGCACGGATAACAACATTATTGCAACGTTATGCGAATCGAAAGAGAATATTTACTGGAGAATATTTACGGAGTAACGTTAAGACGGACGGTTTAGTATTCCACGAGTACTAATCGCGTCGCCCGTCCCATTTTATCCATGAAGCTTTGAGCGTAATTGAAATAAATTATCGCGTCGAGCATCTTTCGATTACTTAAAAAAGTGGAAAGAAGCAACGCGGATCTTCAGCGAAATCCCATTCGATGTCTCGTCCTTAGAGCGCTGATAAATCTCGGACTTGAGGTCAAAAGAAACGGATCAGAAGCGTATACAGTAGTAAAACGCTTTTAACACGGGTCTGAATTTAAATGCTCGACGGAGTCTCTCGGACGCGCGGAGAAACGTTGCGGTCACTCGAGCGAGGAGTTTCCTCCTCGTGAGATATTAATAATAATTAATCCCTATGAATCTTCGTCTCTTTTGCGAATCATCAAGAACTTCTTTCGATTCGTCTCTCGAGATCGTTAATCGGCCTACACGCAATTGCTACAAAGAGGAATTTACAGAAATAAGTAAACGAAACTATTATATTCATAAGAGCAGTAATTAACAGATAAGCTTAATCAATGGTGTGCCTTTATATACGTGTGTTTAGTAAGCTCCTTATTATTTTTTTTCTACGGATTATCTACATTAAACACCGTTACATTGTTCCACAGATATTTTGTACAATAATATAAAATATGTAATCTATAAAAATAATACAAGTTTTATGACAGAGACTCGCCTTCTCGCAATTACGACTTTTCTTATTCGCATGCCATTCATTATACATTAAACGCACCGTTACATTATTCAGCAGATATTTTGCATAATAATATAAAATATAGGAAATATGTAATCTCTCTCTATAATAATAATACAAGTTTTTTAGGAATGTGACGTTTCCTCATTTATGACAGACCCGCCTTCTCGTGATTACGACTTTTTTCATTCGCACTGCCATTCATTATACAGTTGCGGTTTTATCGGCGGCATTCAGCGTCAAAGGATCGCGTCGTATGCATCGTGTATCGCTCAACGAAATATTTATTCTCCGCCACGCCGTCGCTGCATTTATTAACGAATTCCCGGCTGTATTATGCAATCGCGGTTGGACACGGTCCGTTAATATTGCAGATGAACTTTGACAGCGAGAGAGTCTTCGCTGCGCGGCTCACACGGGCGAAAATGCATGAAAGATAATTCATAACTCGTAAGGAAAACCACCGAGGACTTCGACCACATCGAGACGGAATGCGAGATCAAAGACAGAAGAGACGTCTGAACGAAGCGGAAAAGGAAGCGAGCCACGACGTATGGCAGACTTCACTCGCGGCCAACCCTCCGGGTCACATATATAGTATAAGGCAACAAAGAACGCGAGAGTCAACCCGGACTTCGTTATTCTTTGAACGTTAACTGAAAAGTTGCTGGCCGATTCAAATAAATGCATTCACTCGTTTACGAAACGCCAATTTTATTATCCTCTCCTATTTCTTCCATTTACGAAGATCTCTTTCGATTTGAGAGAGAGCAAGCCAAGAAAATTGCCGTCCATGATTTGCGACTTTCTTCGCATAAATTAAAGAAAATTGGATATCTAATCTCCACTTTACGAAGCAGCATTACTTTTTACTTTCTCAAAATTTAATGGAAATATTACTTCTTGCAGTTTTTAGCGATACTTCCTGCTCGAGACAGCATCGCGCGAAATACGCAGAAACGTACAAATTAAATGCAATAAAAAAATATGTATATATGTATATATACATTTAAATGTACGTTATGTAATATCTACTCGTCCGGTCGCACGGAGTGCAGAAAGTCGCAGAAGTGTTTATCCCGAACTCAAAAAATAAATAAAAGTAGAAAACCTCGAGCCACGAGAGAGTGCAACTAGGAGGATGCGTTCTCTGCGACGACGCACATCTCATACACGGTTTATCTTACGAGGTACGAGAGTACATCGCGAGCGTTCTCAGCGCATTGAGTGCGCGCTGTTAGGCGGAATATCGTTCAAAGAGCGGCGAGAAGGGGCTCTTATACGGAACGAAGTCCCCGTTTCTTTGCGATCGTAGAAAAAGAGAGAGAGGGGGAGTCTCATGGGTGGAGACAAGCCGTGGAAAAGGAACTTGGATTCTGTATTTTCGTCGGATATAGGGATAGGGGTTCATCCCCTCTAACCAACATCCGGCAGAGTCTGTCCACCCCGATCCCGGTACTCGTGTATTATTTATTTCCCGCGGACGTATATGGATTATGGACCGGCCAACTCCCCTTTCGCTTCGGAGCCTCGTAACCCCCGTCACAAACTCTGTTTTCTCTCTCTCTCTTTCCCTCTGTTTTCATCCTTCATTTCTCCACCCCCGACCGCCCGCCGTCCCGATTGCCGCCCCGGTTTCTTCTTTCAACTTCGCGGATCGCGAGGTTGTTTTCTCTCGATCTTCGCGAATCGTCGAGATCTTAAATCCAGGAAGCAGCCGCTGTCTCGTTCCTTCTCGCTCCCCTCCCCGCCTCTCGGTCACCGTTCTCGGTCACCGTTTTCTTCTTTTTTTCTTTCCTCTTTTTTGTCCTTCATGTTTCCGTTGAAAGAAAATCTCCCGTGCGACCCGGCGAAAGAGCGCGCGAGCATTTTACGTGCCCGACGACCCGCACGGAATTGTCTCAAGATCGTCCGCGCGGAGTGGACGGGGTGGAGACGGACGTTGGTACACCGAGCGAGCGTACCCGGGAAACGATGGAGCTTCGCTCGGATGACAAACCAATCTCACGCGCCGGCTGCGGGCCCGATGAGCTCTCTCCCGGCCGTGGACGCTATCGAAGAAGAGAACTCCGTGACACGCTCCGTTGGGCTCATCCGGGTCCGATGACTATCGGACGAATAAATACCGAATGCACGAGTGGGCGTATTAAATTGCGCTCGATCACCGAAAAGCGGAGATAGGGGTACGCGCGTTAAGAAATAAAGTGCAATTTTCGATCGAAATCTAGATGTCGAAGTCCGTTACCGGAAGCAATCTTAACCCGTGATCCTGTTATCTCTGCTAGCACGGCTACGAGACGGCGATTGCCTAGCCCGTAGGTAGGTCAATTTTCTCGGTAGATCGTCTCGCGCAAAGCATGACGAGGACGACGACGGTGGCGGTGGTGGTGGACGGATGCGCAACACATGACGTAGAGTCGCTAAAATAATATTGGCCGAAGATAGGCTGCCAAGGAAAGGGCTTGGCTGGCTCGGGACGAAGGTGCGGGGGCCATTATTGCCTTTCGAGATGGATGACCTCTGGATACACGAGCTCCCGACACACAACCGACCGAAACTTTCGCCGAGAAATTACAAAGGTTTTAAAATCAAGGAGAGTTGGATCACTTCGTTTTATGGAGCAGGATTACGTACGAATCATATTCCTGGATATTACCTGCTCCTATAATATCTACGATTCTGCGCGCGTGCCACATTACCGCTGATGAATAAAGTTTCGTCCTTCCCCACCAGTCTCGAGAAGTTATTAATATCAAATGATGTCCGATGACGTAAATTTATCCACGATTGATCGCGCACCTGCGACGGGTTTATCGTTACGCAATAAAGACTGAATACTATCGATAGAGTGCCAATGAGAGTTAAATATCAGCTCGTTTCGTTGAAGCGTTGAAAAACTAAACGAAGAAACGCTGGGTTATTAAAATAATTCTTACGCAAAGGCCAAGGCCTATATAACAAATTGAACGATAGCAGTAAAACTTAACAAATAAATTGATAAAAATGTTAATCAATTTCAAGTATATAAATTTATGTAAAGGTCCTCGGTCTTTCGTAATTCTTAACTTTGGTAAGAGTGTCCTCATTTCGATTAAAATTTAATCGAATGCAATGGAAGAAGCAAGACGTAACGGGATCGCAGACTCGATATCGACTATAATTACTAATAAGAGGAACCTTTATGCGACTTGTATCACGACTTGCCTACAAGCTGGATAATTTGACGGAAGTTTCCCCGTCGAGTCGTGATTCTCGTCGAGATCCCTCCTCTAGGGCAAATGACGTGGAAAGAGGGCAGAAATTAAAGCCGCTCGTTAGGATGAAACGCTTCCGCTGCGATCGCCGTGCTTCGGCGTCACTGAACCGCGAACAGAGAGGATGGTAGGGATCTGATATTCGAAACATACAAAGAGCGCCGCGAAAGTGGATTGCGTCTTCTCTTTCACGGGCGTTGGAATTTCGCGAAACTCCGTCGGGTCAAACGGCGGATGGGAAACCGGATTATCGACTACGATAATCGCCCGTCTTGCATCTCCCACCGTGTGCGGTTCACCTACCCCGAAATTTATTTAAGATTAGAGAATCCTTCATAAGTCCGCGGCTGACAAATTCCTTGAGAAACTCGACTTGCCACGACTTAAATTGATTACGAAATAAGATTCCTTTTATCTCACGGTCCTTCGGCTTCAGACAACGAAAAAGCTACTACCCCAAAGCGCTATTCATTATCACACACAATTAAGAATTTCCGATTCTTCATTCCTCCGCATCTCAAATCGATACCCACTACACAAATTTTTCATTCGCAGACCCCCCTTAGCATCAACTTCTTTCCACACACTAATTATTCGTATTCCCAAAACAGAATATAACCATCTGAACGTAATCTCGTTTGTATTAGACTATATCAAACTATTATACTGTATCGTTTGTATTATGTATCTCAATAGTCACAACATATTCTACAATAATCCATATAAAGCGCCAAACGCTGCTTTTGAAATAAAGTATTAAAAAAAA